GACATTGTCATTTTTAGGAAATAATAAAAGGCGCTTCTTCTTTCGGTGAGGAAGATTTAAGATATTTCAAAGAATAAACCAACCGCCGTCGTCTTAACATGCTTTATTTCTGTTCCGTTCAGAGTTGTTTCATACTCGAAAAAAAAAAAAAAAAAAAAAAAAACGAACACCAGAAAGGAAACCGTTCGTTGTCTACACTTCTGCGCCTCTCTTCAAATATATTACAATATTTCCCCCATCGCATTTTGCCTTAACCCGCCATGGTCAAAATAAAATAGAATGCATATTATGTCCGTCGAAATTTGAATTAAAACTAATTTTATAAATTAAGCGAAGATTATGAAACCAGTCTCTTGCGCAAATAAAGAGGAGCGGTGCATAAATTACTCAATTTTACACCACTATAATGTACTGCGCTGTTCTCGTTTCCTGAGTCTGAACGACAGTTCCTTTAAGCCAATGAGGATACAGCAGACGCCAGGTGGTCTCACGAAGTACTTTCATCATAAGTTGTATAAGAGTAATAATACTTATTGCATGGGCTCTATCCCAGATACAATCGCATCTTTGCTCCTAACAGCCAAAGCGGCAGCGCTGGCTGATAGCGGCATGTTTGTTCCTTCAAGCAGGCTTTATCAATGTTAAGAATAAAAACATAAACTTGATTAATAAAACTTATAATGAACGTTTAATGCGGCGAACTTGTTCCGAGAAACAAATTAACAAAGACTGTACTTAGACCACGACGGATGTACGACACTTTCAAGCAGCCATGCGAAGCTCCTTTTGTAAGCGCGTGGGTATTTTTAGAAGTTTCCGAGCTCAAACAACTAGATTCTCGAGTCATCTGTAACATTCCAGTCATGCAAACAAAAGAGATAAAAAGGACAAATGCCGACGGGGATGAAACCCTAGCCAGCAGTGTGGGAGTCGAGCACGCTGCTGATTCAGCTATCCGCAAGCGGCTTTACTCGGCTCTTAAAAAAATAGAAAAACGCGTCGTTTCGATGCCACACTGACTTTGAGAACATAAAAAAAAAAGAAAGACGTTTACAAATCTTTGTAATCTGAAATTAGAGGGCAGCTCTCGAGAAGGAGGAGGAGGGTACGGAGATGACGGTATGCTCCTTCTCCTTTCCTCCTCCTCCTCCTACCCTCCTCCTCTACTCTCCCCTCTCCCTCGTCCTCCTCCTTTAATCCTCCTCCACATTTCCTCCTTCTCCATTGTGCCTTCCCGTCCTCCCACAGTTTCCGCGCTAAATTTAGCTGACGAATTGACGCCCCGTGACCACAACACCAATTCAGGTTCCCCGCTGAATTTATCGGGGAAAATGACGTCACATGACTTGATGTCACGTCCAGAGTGTCGAGCCGGAGCCGAACCGAACCGAAATCTTCGCCGTAACCTTGCAACTGAACCGGAACTGAACCGAAAAAAAACCCAATAAACTGTTCAAAACGGTTCATGGTATTTTTTTTTGTATTACGAAATAAATGTTTGAGAAAGAAGCATTGGCTTCTGGGTTATTCCTATATAGGAATCAAATTGTCATATACCGTATTGCAATGTATGAGAAAGTGTGGGTTTTCGTGACGGCTTTCATATTGGCACTATAATTAATAATGTGTCAGGTGGTCATGTCACGTCATGGTGTCAAGACATGCTGTCAAGTAATCTCACGCCACGTGGTCCAGTGACGTAGTCACGAGACTCGCTGCGTCAAGTCTACTTAAATTGAGAACGTCACTATATTTATTAGCGTTGTTGACACCGTGACGTCACAAGGCATTACGACTTCTCACCGCGAGTTACGTGACACTGTGACATACTTGTCACGGTGTCACGTAACTCGCTTCAGCTTGCCTACATCGCTCTAAACATTTTTGTGCGTCAAGTGTTTTTTTTTTAATTTTTTTTTTACAATATCAGGACGCGCCGTCGGTAATATATGGCATCCTTCAGCGATGATGGTACGGCGGTGTGAGAATTGCGTTCCCTATGCTCCGTTTCACGATAATACTGATAGCGGATACGAGGGGTGGTCATAACGGTTTTAATATTGTCAACACAGCAAAACGAACAATTTTGCTAACATATGCGGTCCGGGGCAGGCCGACATTTATGTAATCCCAACCCGTTAACAATGTTTTTCCAGCGTCCAATTATTTGAAAATGCACCAATATTAGCATACGATGAAGGACCTCGCCTGCTAAAGACCATGATACATCACACACCTGCAAAAAGGAGCGTGAAAAAAATCTGCACTCTAAATTTCGCTCTTTTGTCAAGCTGACCCTTACAACCTTTATAATTGCCTGGCCACTTTAGATGAGCGTAGAGTGTACCACTATAATCCTCAGACAAAAAAACGAAGCAAACAATGGAACCATGCCTACTGATAACCGTCAAAAGAGTTGACGACGCGGCCGTCGTTCGGAAGTTGATGGTGTGTGTTTCTTTGCACTGCTTTGGGAGGTTATGCCCGTAAAAGTTAAACAGTATCATTGATATATAAACGAAACCACATGACTAGATTACGGGAGACAATCAAGCGCCGTGGAAACCTAATATCAGGAATGCAATTGCTCCACCGCAGCATACCAGAGGCAAAATTTACGGGACGATCATACGAGAAAAAAGGTGCATACGAAAAAACCTCCCAAGGAATACGTATTCACGAAGCGATATTATTGTAACTTTTGTGTAGTTTACGACAGAACCCTATGACAGCTCCGCAGGTGTCGTACGTACTTTCCACGATCGAATACTCCCGGGCGACAACATCGCTCGTTTACATCGACGCAACGATCAGTGGACACTTATTGTTCTACGTGCTGTCTGAGCTCGTTGAAACTTTAAGCTCCAAGAGAAAACAAATAAGTACTCGAAACAGAACGCCGCGAAAAAAACGCTGAAGCCACAGATACCCCAAAAAGATACAGCGGCAATGATTTCCCCGACCATACAACTGACAAAGGTATCTAGGAACGTTATAACTTAGAGGCCTAGCGAGGCACTCCACAAGGTAGCCCCGATGTCCTTGGCCAAACCCTTCTACCCTCTACCACCTGAGTTGCTGAATGAAATAAGGGACCTTCCTGGACCCTCCGCGTATGGACGGTTTGAACCTTGACCTTCCAGACCCCTCCTCTCGTGTAATAGGCAGTCTCTTTCCCTCGTCGTCCCCTTGTTTTAAGAAGCAGCGGTTGCGAATGCTCTCGTTGAAGAGGGCCATTCTCCACGATTCTATCTCCTTCTTTGTGAGATATAGTGCTCAACTAAATGCCATATAGATTGCCTTCGCAAAATGGGTGTATACACTTTTTTTTGGAGTGTCCCTTTTATTTTGACATTACGATATGCCAACAGATGTCGAGTAAGAGCAGTTTTCCGAGCTACGCTATGCCCGTCCAACCTTCCTCTACCGAGCGTCACGTCGGCATCAAATTGCAATGGTATAGTGGCAGAGCAAATCATATATTCGGTTGCAAAAGATAGTTTCTGAAGCGGTTACCATGACGCAGTCCAACCGTGCGGTGCCCAACGCGGTTCCACTCCCAACCTGAACAAGTATTTACGTGGCTCTTCCTCACACGCTTGATGTTTAAATGTACAGTATCCTTCAGGAGTCGGCTGCCTCCTGCATCCCCGAGGACAGGAAATGCGCAGCGACGATTTGTTTCCATGTGCGCCGCTTTACCAAGCCGTGCGGGCCATTTCCTTTTAGCAACGATGATAGTTCTGTAACTTCGTAGCGATCGAGGGTGTTAACAATTAATTGGCCAATATTTTTACACTTTCCTCGGAGAGGTAGTCATTCCGGCCCGTTTAAATCGACATTTCGTTATGTCTACAATACACCCCACCGAAACAATCCCTAAAACAAGCGTTGCTGGAAAGGCCGCCTACGTTTGTTGTGATCCAAGATCCATTTACTCCGATCATTCCGGGCTCTCCGATTGGCTGTTCGTGGTGCCAAAGATGCTGTCGCGATAGCAACAGCTCGTTTTCGCAGTGATCGAGAACTGGCGGGACACCGCGAAAACGTCCCTTTCCTCCTCTCACTTAGGAGAAAGTTCTTGAATACCGATTTCTTCACTTTTTACGATTAGCGTAACTTTCGAACTCCTTAGCTAAGTCGTCGTAGTCTAAGGCGTTCTACGTGAATTTTGCCTTACTTCATTCTGTGCAGCACACAGTGACGCCATGCGATTGTTTCTGGCAATCACAATCTACCTTACTCATCTGTCTCCACGTCCTTAGTTCTCTACAATTTTTCCTTTTTCCCTGCACGCTAGCAGTACGGGCAGATAGCGTTCCTATCGCCCCCAGTGGCAGCGCCTGCACTGCCAACGGAGGGGTGTTAATGAACGATGTTAGTTTTGCGGCACGTTTTCCGGAAGCTTTATGTTTGCCAATCCAAAAAAAAAAAAAAAGCAGTAGGGTACGTTGTTGGGCTACTTGGGTTCATCTTAGTAAAGCATAAAATAGCGCAAAAAAGACAAAAACAAGAAGTATACAGGACAGGCACTAACTTTCATCTTGTTTTATTCAGGAAACGGAAACATATATATACACACGACAGGTAAAGTAGCACCACGCAAAAGTTGACGTGTTTTTAATTAATCAACTTCTGTTCATAAGGCGGGCTGATAGCGTAGCGGGCTTCAACGAGTGGACGCGCCCCGAAAATGCACCAGGCGTTCCAGAAAACTTGACTGATTTTGAACTAGCAATGTTGTACCACCTGGTACCCGGTAACTCCTTTATTTGTTTTTGTCGTTAAAAACAAACTGCGTTCCAGGAGTTTCCAGGACGACCGCGAGGTGATTGTCGAGGTGGAACGCTTCCTCACAAGCCAAAAGTATAACTATACAACCAGAATGCTCTCATGTTCTATCATCGGGTATCTTTTTACTCCTTTTCTACTGACGCAAATAATACACAGCTGGCCTACCAGAATAGACTCCTTAGCCCTACTATATTTTCTTTTGATAGACGTCTACTGCGTCCACATCCTGCACCTTTCTGTGCCCAAGTGGGTGGAAAACGGCACCGAGGACTCTGTGGTGCTTGACTGCGTCTACAGCGTGGCCCAGGACGACCAGCAACTCGTGGTCAAGTGGTTCCTCAACGACGACCCACAGCCCATCTACCAGTGGATTCCCGAACTAGAAAAGCGACACGTGTCCCAGAGGCTCAGAGGGAGACTGAACCTGGACTTTTCGCTGTCTAGCGGCAACAGCTTCACCAAGTTCCGAGCCCTGAACCTGGTGCGCCCCACAACGGAGCTTGGTGGGCGCTACTCATGCCACGTAAACTCACTCGCAAGTCAGGATGCCGAGTCCAAGCTCATGACGGTTTATGGTGAGTCTGTGTGCCACCTGAAGCAATAGGTTTTTTGAATTCACTAGCTGAAAGTTATTTTTTTTATCATGTCTGGATACCTTCGAGATATTATAGAAACGATTGACTTCCGCTTACAAAACCTGTTATGAAGCACAAGAAGCGTAAATGAGAAGTAAAAACACCCTCCGTAATTTGGAAACAGACAGGTACAACCTGAAATGCAAGTCAACAAGTCATACCTTCGTGTTGCTTTTCTCAATTTTACCTTCAAGGGTATTGACTTCTGAAACTTCAACTGTACTTTAGAACACATTGTGAGTTCAGCGCATTCAAGCATACCTCAAAGCATAATTTGACTTTACCATGGTACATTTTTACTTGGTACATCAGGGGAAGGAATATATCATACGCATACTGCTAAAGCGTTAAATAGTGAGGAGGCAAATCTGCCACTAAAACATTGAAATGCAAAACCTGACGAGTCGAAACGTGGAAGTATGTGAATTTATCTGCAAATTTTAAATATTCTACGCCCCCAAATTCCGTGTCTTGAAAATCTAAGAAGTTACGACGGACACCTCGTGAAGTTTAAGTATTATATTTAGGTTGAACTGGCTAGAAAAGGACACCATAGTTGAGATAGGTGCTACGTTTAAAAATAACAATTTAACATGGGTTATTATCTGAATAATTGTAGTTATACAGCATGATATGAATCTATGGTTACTATGGCTGCTGTGTGTTCGCTCTATGTGGTCCTCCTAAGAAACGAAGGCAAGTTATCTCTTGAACCTCGCTCTGCTCACCCGAAGAATAAAATGGAACAATCTGCGTTGACATATTGGCTGCTGTTCGTTCCAACAGCTAGAGCTTACAAGCGAATCCTTACCAACGTAGTCATAAGGGTGGAACACTTAAGTTTGGCATGAGTTATGACTGGTCAAGCAGCCTATATAAAAATTTAAACCTTGAATTGTGTTCATCATTAAAACGTTTGTCTTTGCAAGCTGAACATTGGGGCTTCTTCGTGACAAAATATGCTTTTAAAAAGAAACGTTTCACTGCTCGTGATCTGCTTCGTTTAAGGCATAAAAACTAGAGAAGTCGATTGAAAGAACGTTTGGCTGATAGAGTTCAAGAAATATGCTTTGGGATGAGGCGCCACCTCGTGTCCCTCGTGCTGTGAATGAAGCTTCTCGGGCTGTCAGCTCGCACACCTAGCTTTGGCGGTGCTCTACCTCACTAGTGTGAATTTTAAGGATGCGTGGTTATCTGCAGTAACAGGGCAAGCTGGATTAAATGGGAAGCGAAATCACGAGTGCACACTACTAACCATGGCAATTTTGACCACGGCCTTTTAGCAAATTCTGTGCTTTATTTTGCACTCTAATAACAGGTATTACCTTAAATATCAAATATGTTAATTTACTAATGTAGTAAATTGGGCGAGTTATAAGCGTTATACATCATGAAATCAGCTCAAACGACACAAACAAAGTAAAGAAAAAAAACACGTGTTTGACTCTTCACTTCGTTCTCGTCATATGAATTGTTTCATCATGTATATGTTCCTTTAGTTTGTTTGAACCATCAACAGCTTCGTTTTCGTTGTCCCCGTGTGTCTCCGAGCTCTGTCATTTCACCTTTCTTTTTCAGACACCGATAGAGTCCGAAAGATCTAAAGAAAACCATATTGTTTTGTAATTTGAATGGTACAACTTGAGCAAAGAGCTCCGGTAGGGAGAGAAAAAACTCCTGTACTATGTCTCGTGGCTTTTTTTTTTCGAGAAAGGCAACTGAGTCTAAGGTTATAGGTAGGGTTCCGTGTTATCGCGTTTATATTTTTTCAAATTGGGACGTGTTTTTTCGTGTTTATTAAGTTTTAAGAGCTTCAGTATAATTTAGACTCAATTTTAGTTATCGACCAAAACATTGGCGTTTATCGGGACTGATAATGAAGAAACCAGGACACGCCCGTGTAGGATCCCCCACCTCCAGAAAATATAGGGGTAACTCGAACTCTTGTAAAACGTCCCGGTATCGGGGAGGACACTAGACAAGGACTATAAGTTTCGAAGTAAGAAGCAGCTTTGCGAGCAGTTCAGTGAGGGCTGAGTTTCGGAGCGAAAAAAATAAGAAGTAGATAACTTTTATTTTACGAAATGAATGATGTTCTTTTTTTTTTTTCTTTTTAAACGTTTTAGTTTTTTTCTCTTTCTTTTCTTTTCCTCGTTTTTTTTTGTGAAACCGCTTCGAGGCTTCATTTTCGAGGTTTATCAATATTTATCGAAAAAACGCAATCCTAGTCTTATAAATGAGCGCAGATTCTAGACATCTGCGCATTGAGTGGCGAAGGGAAGGCTAGGTTCGACCTGAGATAGTTGTCAGAAGTAATGTCGTGTTTCCCGTGCAAGCAAGTCGTGCTGAGGGATTATATATAGATATCGTTTTGAGTGTGGTGTACTTCTGTGTTTTGTTTATTTTTCATGCGAGCCTTCTTGAATATCCGCATGACCCTGGTCGACAACGGCGACTTCTGGCACACAGCCCCGCCGAAGAGGTTCGACTTCTCGTACGAGCGCCTCTCGCCGACCGTGACGGAGTTGTCGTGCGAGGTGGACGGCGTGTTCCCGCTGCCCACCCTCTTCCTCTACCAGAGCAGTGGTCGTGATCTGGCTGCCAGGGCTCTCGGGACTTCGCCCAGCGTGGCCCAGGCCGAAGGAGCTTACAAGATTCGTCTCACGCACGCCGTTGACAGCCGCACTCTCGAGGCTGGACTGGAACACATTTTCGAATGCGTGCTCTCTATCCCGGAGACGAACTTCAAGCGACAGCGGAGACTAGAGTTTGAACCCGGTAAGGCACGTTAACAGGTGTTAAGATAAGTCGCCATATATGCACACGTAATTTTATATTTAGGCACTGAATAGAGGGTTTTGGTAACACAGACAGTGGGACAGCTCCGACATCTATATCGACTGCCCAGAATGATGGGAAAAAAGGGGAATCGAAAAGGCTGTTAGTGAAAGACGGATATTGATAAATACAATGCGAAGAAACTTGAATAGGCCAGTTTTCATCAAAATTCCGTCGAAGTTTGCTATGAGGACAGGCCGCAACTAGATGCCCCACTGTCGGTAAGGGGTGGAGGGGGGGTTCAGCTCACGGGTTCGCAGTGCTTCCATTAGGTGCCGCCACTTGGGGTGCGGAATTTCGGGGCTGAGTTTTGATGGTGGTGACGGTATTAATAAGCATTTTTCGACAAAACAACAATGAAAGATGATGTCAATTGAGGAAATTGCAGCACATAAAGAACCGTGAGCAGTTGATTAAGTTCACGGATAGAGTCACGTTTATTGAAAAAACACTTTCAGTACAATGGCGCGTGACCTTTTAATGTGGGCAGGGTCTGAAATTCCGTTTGCGCTTCTTGGTTGGTGGACTTAAAGTGGTGGTGGGGAGATTGGCGTCTCTTTTCCCCTTGTCGAAGTACGCACCGCGGCACTGTCGCGAACAAAGCGCCAGCATAGCGTTACGAAGTCTGAAGACCAGAAGCGTATTGTAGAGTTTTGGTAATACTTTGTTCTTACCAAGCCCAAAACAACGTCTCGGCCAGCGGAGTGGTACATGAGAGAAAACTGTAGTACAGATTTTTTTTTCACCTGATGAAGTAATATCAAGGAGTAGATATAACATCTATTCGGGCTTAAAAGTGACCTCTGAATGAGGTGACTTGAAAAGGGATGTGTAAACTTATACTTAATTGTAATTGGTGGCGGTATATACTATACTACCGAAATCAACGCCTAATAATAGTCATGGCTCTGTTTACATCTAATAATCCTCAAATATTAAAATGTCCAGGGGCATCTTATTATCCCAGGCGTTAGGTCTCTACATTTAGATTGTTCAATGAAAAACATGAAGGGACTGATATAGATCATGTTGTGTAATTTCGTATGTGTTTTCCTTCTTCGGGGGTTCGAGCATCTTTACGGCAGGGCGCGTTATCCCTCCAGGGGTCGATGAGCCCCCAATGGAGGCACGGACGTGAACATTGTAACATTCCACCTGTTTATAGAGCTACGTATATAACTTCTTTGTCTACAAAGCTGCTTTGTATTATTTTAGCTGCTCTTGACAGCGTCGTTCGAAATGTGTTCTGTTTTATGTACCCCCCTTATGACGTTGTTGATGGCACGTTTCTTCCCGTGTTGTCGATCTTTCGGGGTTGTACCGGGAATCGGCTATTGTGGACACGAGAGGTATGTTAAGGATCTGTACGGTGCGTTTGCGGGGGTTGATGATTGGGATGTTTACAGAGTCGGCGGCGGAGGGCCGTTTTGTTTTGGGTAGCGCCAACTAAACTCGTTCTTTGAGTTTGCTTCTCGGGATATGTGTAGCCGTACCACGGGGACGAGAATGCGCGTTAGATGGAGAGAGTGAAAGAGAGGGAAAGAGATGAGGGTAGCTATGTTGGGAGCGGAAGAGTTGAGGAGGGGGAGACGACTAAGATACTCGAGAGGAGACGCATCCAGAGCGATACAGAAGGAGTTGAGATAAAAGTCCCATCGAGAGCGATGCGGAAAAATCGAGTGGATGAAGTGCAGAGTTGTCACTTAGAGAGTCAAACGGCAGACGCCATCGAGTTTTGAGAACTAGCGAACTTTTATGTTGTAACGTTTGTGTATAATACCTGTATATTAAACCAACCCTAAAAGTCTACGATCCCGACATCACTAAAACCCAAGAGAAGAGACCCTTGATTGGCAATTGGCGAGAACGGCGTCAGCACAGACCCCAAAGACAACGAGCGACTTAACGTCACGAGACCAAGACAAGACAAATATAAAACGTTACAGGTCTCAATAAACTACGTGTGTTCAGATTCTTTCGTGCGACGTTGGTGTTTTACATTGCATACCTCTATTACCCTACAACATCAAATACTATATTTATAATTTCATTACAGTCGTATCCTGCTAGGGCTCGTACGTGTGATAAAGATGAACTAACGTCCAATTTAATGTCTTTTTAGGTTCTTGTGTAGAAGTAATAAATATTTTTATTAATATTTATATCACGTTACACGATGACGTTTATAACCGTGTGTAATAAAAAGAACGAGATAAAAGTGTGTTCAAAAAAGACTAAGAAGCTTTGATGTTCTTCGATTTTAGAACCTCCGTTTGTAAAAGAAAGCATATTTATTATATATATATTTTTTAAACTTGTTCGTGGCTTTTCTCTAATCCTACACGATTACACACTTCGAAATACTCACGTATTTGAGTCAATGGTAATGTCACGTTGCCCTGTTTTAAACGATTTTTAAAGTGTGGCGACTATCTCTTTATCTACCCAATATAGTATCTATTTAGCGTTTGTACTTAGTTAAATCCACTTGCTTTATGGTATCATAAACACGAGGCTACGAACAAAATTACCGTTAGTTACTGCCTTCATGGCGGTCGTGTGTCACTACTCCGTTATGCACGTTAAAGACCCCAGGCTAGCGGTTGTACTGCATTGGCTAAATTTCTCAACTACAGCTGGGAGACAAGTCGTCCGTTGAGGCAGAATAAGATCCGATTGTATAAACATACGCACAACCTTTATTTTTTTTACTACCTTCATGAATCAAGTGTACGCGCGATGAAGGTATAACGTACAGAGGCATTTTTTCGCTTTCTTTTAAGAGGTACAAAGCGCGACACTTTTAGCGCGAACAAGTGATCGCCAGTTTTCTGTATTTTTCTCTTAGAACCGAAAGGTTGTCATCAAAGAAATCATTGTTATAGAAAGAGCTTATTGAGGGCTCTAGTATAAGGGGTAAAATTGTGTGCCCACTAATACTCTTTCCCAATAAAATGCGAAAAGTCGCCTATGCCGTGTTCGCGCTAACAGTGACGCTATGTGCACATGATGTACTTAGAAATGAATATTTAGTTGGATGGCAATTTAAAACTTAAATACGCTTCTAAATCATATCATTCACTGGATGTGTCGCAAGAGGAAACCCCGATTCTCATAGTGAAAATGACTTAGTGTGGCCTATTATATTACTCTTATTGGTTACTCCTTATATTATTCTTATTGGTTACTCCTAAGGTATTTAAATGGAAGTGGATAAAATTGGGGCATTTGTGTTTCCTTTTTATAATTTGGAACAATATAATGTTTCAAGCAAACAAAATAAATACGTGCTGTCAAATCTAAACCCACTTGAAATTATCAAACACGCTTTTAATACGTCACTCCTAGAAATATTTCACCCACGAGCAGTGCTGTACTGCATTCGACAGAAAACATCGAGTTCCCGTTATGAAGGAATTTAATCTCGAACCAAAAAATCAGTTGTAAACCGAGAACTTGAGAAGCGCAGTGAGAAAACTTCTTGCTTTGTAATTAGTTCTTCAACATTTTTATTGGCTGATGACGCAATCGGATTGGCTGTGAAGCGAAAATAAGATGTTCGGAGCTAGCCACTCCCAGCGTCTCTTAGATTGTAGGTGACTTTAGACATTTTGAAGACGTATATTTAATGCAATAACTCACTGCCTCGTACACAGGTATCTCAGAAGCAGATGCAAAGGGCAGTGTCTTTTTTATATTAAGTTTTAACTATAAGTTTGTTTATTTTTGAAACATCAATACACTTTTTTTTAAAATTAGATCGGAAGTATTCTGTATTCCGGAAGTACTCACTTCAAATTTAACAGATTTTATTGCTGAATTGTTAAGTTGTTACCGTGTGTTTTTTTTTTCTTTAGAGAGCTTTCAAAGACATTAACAAACTAAAAATAATCCGCACATAGCATCTTGTCAGACTTCTTTCAGTTTCAATAACTTCTAAAGTATCATGAAGCAATGTGTCATATTCTTTTAACTCCTGTTACCAGCAGTTTGACCCAGTAATCTCTTTGATAGAAGCTTTTCTACGTACATGATTTGGTTTTATAGTCACCGTAGAGACACGTGACTTTGGAACGTATACATATCTTAGTGTTTATATCTCCAAGTATTTTATTAATAATAAAAAAAAGAAACAGCGCGCCTCCACAAAAGTGCGGCTCAAACATTGCCCGTGTAATAAGTTATACAATTTTACAATATTCACTAACAAAATCTTTTAGTTGAAAAATTCTTCATACTAACTTCCCGCGTTTTCAGTCGAGGGTACCATAGAGTTATTATAACGTACGCTAGAGGTTCAACTGGCGCTAGTGTCAACGCGACTTCCGTGACGAAAATGGAAGCAGACAGCGGCCAGCCTACTTTTGCGGTGCTTTAGTGCATTCCTTTGGGAAAACGCTCGAGCGTTTTGTCGCTTCGCCGGAAAATAACACGGAACACTTTGGTTATTTCGGTCATACCAAATAGTATGTGCCTTAATTAACATTGTAAAAGTGTAATTGTTTTAGTGAGCGCGTTTTTCTTCATCAGTGAGTGATGATTAACTTCGCTACATTTCAGTCCCAAACGTGTGTTCCGCAGCAGGTGTGTAAAAACAAGCGACGATTCAAAACAAAATTACAATCGAAAGGAATATAGAGTGTGTTCAAGGCTCGCCAGCCTTCCGGTGACGCTTATAAATTGATAATATGCCAGATCTGTCACTATATGAAAATTACCCCGTCGTGCATGAGCAGATGAAAACGTTCAAGACGTAAATAATAAAGCACGTGAGCTACGGAAGATGTCTCTTCGTATTGTTTTCTCTGCCGGGCAGCTTTTATGGGGAACTTGTTCTCAAAGATTTCGATCGTGCTGGTGATATTTTGAACGTAGAAGTTCGCTCAGAGCATAAAGAATAAAGCGGTACTTACTTATTTAAGATCGGAATACATTACGTG